GGAGTATGGAATTAAAAATAACTTGTGTTTTATATCTTACCTAGCTAGTGTCATTTTGACTATGAGAGGACATCATACAGACAGCAAAATGGCAGCAGATGACTTCTAAAGCACAGCATATGGTTACCTTTTCGTGAATTATTTACGTAGAACTTCTGTTCCTCCTACATCTGAAAATAATTACAGAATCTAATGAATAGTCATGAGATGAAAGAGTGAATTTATTTTGTTTAGTTTTTAATCTTTTTTGTTTTTCTTTATTTGGGAGGATATGAGAATGTGACTAGGGATGTTATTTGTTAAATGTGTATAAGTGTTCAAGTTAGAACAATGAGAATTAATAAAAGTTGAAAAAATCTAAACAGAAATTTCAGAAAGCTAAATTATGAAGGCTATGAAATGTTACTGGCATATTTTAGTGGTGTCTAACAATTTCTGCTAGAAAAAAGGGAAAGTTGGAAGAAAGGAGAGAAAGTTAGGAGTACAGTAAGTCAGCCTCAACTACTTTGTGGATAAAAAGAGATGATGAAAGGAAGGAAATAATTATGTAAAAGTTGAAGTAGAAATTTTGAGAAGTTTAAAAGACAATGTTTTAACATTTAAGTTGTGGTAAAGTAAGCTCATTAATAAATTAATTTTGTTTCTGCTTAAGATGTCAGGATTTCATTAAAAGCCACTGCTTGGGCGCAAATACTTCAATTTTTTTGTCAGTTCCAGTTATTTTGGTTTGTGTTTGTTTGTTTGTTTTTTGTTTTATTGATGTGGTATATTAGAAGTGTACTGCATAGTGGGAGCTTCTGATAAACAATGTAATAAAGAAATCACAGAATGCAATGTTTATTTGTTACCCTGTTGTTTGTTTTGTTAGTGGAAGTTGAATGCATGTCCCTTCACTGCAGCCATAGATTGACACCTTTAATATCGTGGTGTAGAGACTTGATTTTTTTTTCCTGAAGTGCTTCAGCAGCCAATGACAGAAGCAAGGTGTCTTGTTGCATTGTTTGGAAAAAAAACCAAAAAGTGTTGTAGCTAAAGAGATGCTATAAGAAGGGATAAAAAGGAATTCTGGAATGGCAGGCCTCTTAAGCATCAAAAGACTGGTTCCACCAGATCACAGTGTTTCTTTGTATGTACTACTGCCTAGATGATTCTGGACACTAGCAGTATACAAAGGATACTCTGATTTCCTGCCAGCTAAACAAAGGGTGAAATGATTAGAGCAAATTTACTTCCAGAATACAGTACTTTTTCTTGTATTTGGAATTTTGTCTATAGAAAACTCCTTAGAAGTGTACTGTAGTTGTCTTAGGTATATGAGCCTTTTTTTATAATTCTAGAGCACCAAGCTGTCAAAAGCCTATTGAACATTGCTTTTGTCCTGTTGTATTCAAACAAGTATGACTGCAGTCAATGCAAAATGTGAGCTGAGATTGTTCTTGTGTAGCATTATCCTGTCTTTTACAGTATCTAGGCAAAAACAGTAGATACTGTGGGAATAGATGAATTCCTGATGAGGTTTGTTTGGGTTTTTTTTTTTTTGTGGTGAAGTCTGTCAAAATAACCTCATGTGGGAGGTTGCCCCATGTGTTGATCAGGTATGGGGTTTTTCTGCTATTCACCTACTTACCAGAGTAGGGTAGTCTTTTAGGAATGCTGCTTATATTCTCTGTTGTAAGAAATCGGTCTTTACTCTCTTCCTCCTATTATACAAGGTAATTCATAGGTTGAGGAAGCAAAGTGCAAAAGCAGCTGCACAGGCAAAGGCAGATGATAATTTACTTCGTTGTGTGTATCTCAGAAATTCTACTTTATGACCCTTATTTCTACCCAGTCATGGCTCCTGAGTAATACTCCTGTTTTTTTTCTCTTCTTTTTAAGCATGTGAAATGAGCAGATAAAAGAGTAAAAGTTCAATTCATTTAGAGGAAGAGATAAGAGCATACGAAGTGGTACCCAAGAAAAATGCTTTGGAAGGTAGCAGGATTTTTGCCATGCAGGTATTACATACCTAAATAATGTTTCACTACTGCTGTGGTAGGTGACTTTGTAGACTACTCAGGTGAGTTAGCTGCTTAGTGATTGATGCAGTGTATTTGCTTTTGATTGATTTAAAGTCTTAAGTGGGTCAGTTGTGGGGATAAGTAATTAGTGTGCAAGTCTGATTCAGAATAATCTGTCTGATGATCCTGCAAAGTATGTGAACTAAGTAGCTTATTTGAGTTTAAAATTTTACCTCAGCAATATCGAACAAACATTTGAAATAGCTCATTGCACTTTTGTACCTTCATTCTCCAAATTACTCAAAAACATCCCATTCCTAACAGGTCCCAAAGATCTTTGATTTTACTTCACTAATAGACATTTGCTTACCAGCTTCAAAACAGTGTATGGTGAAAGAAAGTAGTGACACAACGTAGCTTGTGTACTCAAAAATCAAATGCCTTTAAAGAGCGGGAGCTGCACTTTGAAATTTTATGAGAGCGTATATTTGTGAAGTTTTAACTCAGTGCTAATAGGCTACTTCAGATATGTAGAATTTCTAAGGGTGTCCTTCAGATATAGACTTTGTCTTGATAAATATTAAACAAGTAGTAGCAAACTAGAAGGAAGACTCAAAAGGAGCTGCTTAAATTCTGTGAGGACCTGGATACTGGGAGGGAGGCAAGCAAAATAACTGGTGTTTTCCATGGTAATGTGGACTCATACCTTTTTGAGGATGCAACTAAATAATCTCTGCCAGCAACAGTTTCTTCCTGTAACTGTAATAGTATGTCTGAAGAGCAAATATTTCCTGAAGCTTGTTTGCTTCAAGTGAAAATTGAGTGTGGTGTCTGGGAGGTTCAAAATATGAAAGAGGGAAGTCCTTAGTTAAGAAGAGGTTTCTTAATTTAATTGTCCCCTCCTTAATGTCTTCTGATAAGAGGCTTATGCACTAGGTTATGTCTCTTGAGAAAATATCATATAGATTTCTGAATGTGAAGTTCAGGTTTAGATTTTCTTTGAAGGAAATGGAAGAACTATTTTGAGTCTATAATCTTAGGCAAACTTTGATGGGGATTGGTTCAAGGTACCAGTGCTGTAGAGTGAGTCTCTGTGAGTAAGTTATCTTATAAAAAATGAACAAGTACAGTACAGGTTTGAGATTGATTACCAGTTAGCACTGTTTTAAATACAATCTTGTTCTGTAATTTTATTTTATTTTTTGTCTGGTTGGTTGGTATTAATGATATCTGAGGCAAAAATCCAAGATACGAGAATATGAGGTTTCTGTATTTTCTTTTATTTCTCAATTTTTATTCTAATTTTTCCATTCTCTTAAACTCACATTCACTTTGTTTTCCATGTTTTTAAAGACCGTTGTTAGAAAGTATGTAATTTTGTATATTCTTTGAATTCTACTGTGGCTGCTGTTGAGTATGAGGTATAACAAAGATAATTTTTTCTTTTCTTGATAAAGTGAAATTTTTAGTGTGGGTTAAAAATTTCCTTCATACCTCCCTACACTATTTGCTACACATTATCCGTTCATGGTTGTTAGTTTTCAATATTTGTTGCACAGGTTAGCTGGATTACAATACCTTTCTCATACGCTGAACTGGTTGCAGGGTTTGTTCTTGTTTGGATGTAATTTCTGTGACATAGTGTGGTATGGTTTTGTTTGTGGTTTGGGTTTTTGGGGAAGTTTATTCATTTTGTGTGGTATTTTTTGTGGGTTTTTTTTTTTAATATGTGTTTTTGTTCATTTTTGGGTTTTTTGTATTTCTAGCAGTTTGTAGATAGAAATAGTGGTCAGAGGGATAAAATAAATTTATGTGGAGGAACAATGTATAGGAAAGATTTGGATATGGTGGTAGAAGAAATAGAACAATAAAAATATATGCAGGGGAGGTGGGAATAAAATATGTGAAATTAATGCTTTTTGTATGATTTAACTCTGGTAATACTGAAAAGGGTAGTTTATCAACTATTGAGCTGGTTGTCAAATGTCAAAACATAGTACAGCAGAAGTGGCAGAGCAGGGAGAAGAGTGTGCGTATCTTGAGAAGATGGTACTCAGACTGCTACTCACACTCCCAATATTGCGTCTTCCTTCTGAGGTTATCAGTTGGTGAAGTTTCCTTGTGCAATGTAGGTACTCTGGATGCCAATACACTGACAGTGTTCAACATGCAGAGCAAGCCCTGCTTAACCCTGCACAGCTGCTTTGTGTGCAGGGCTGCTGCACATAATGCCTGTGTTTCTTCTTGTGGGTGAGTTACTTTGAGTTTAGTGGTGATGTACATGCATTTTTTTACTCTGATTGTTACATGCAGGTTTAAAATCAGTGATTGCTGAATTTGACTTCAGATATATTGTTTTACATGTTTTTCTCATCACATTTTCTTGCTTTCTCACATCTGTCACACATGTGAACCAGATGTAACCATCTGGAGGTTGAAAACCCTTGTGCATATTGTCAGCTATATTGTGGAATAATCTAAAGGTATATCCTCATGTAGGTAATTTTTTATTTCTGAACATATTTCATTTAGCTTATATATTAAAGGCATAGCAGTTGCATTTTTGGTTTCCTCAATAGTTATTATTGTCATGATTTCTGAAGAATTTTGAAGTATTTTGTTACTTTTTGGTTTGATTTTTGGTATACTCAAAGTGCAAGTGAAACAATATTCTAATGTATTCTTAATAAGTACAGATACAACTTCTGCAAATGACCTGGTTTGTCAGCTTGACTGACTAATTTCCATTCCGTTCTGCATTTACGGGCTCCTTTGTTCAGTAGCAGCAAGATATTCAGTTGCTCACTTGTGTTACTGTGTCATATAGTCTTGCAGTTCTGAGTATGATTAAAGAACTAATGAAATTAAAATAGTGCTGTAAAACTACATATATCAGATGGTTACATTTCATATGTCTGAAACGCACAGGACTAAAATCCAGTACATGCATGTTCTTTTACAATTACTTTTTGTCTATTAAGAGATTATTTTTTTATATAGAGGCTCACAGGACAGCAGCAGGAGATAAACAACTTAATACAGAGAAAAAATGCTGTGGATGACGAAAATGCACGCTTGAAGAATGAATTCAGTAACTTGAACCAGAAATTTAAAGATAAAAGCCAAGAACTTAAGGTATATTGACTTGTACATAGTTTCATAAGACTGTAGCTTTGAAGTAGTTCTTTAAGCAATGTCAGCCTTTGTGGCACAGAAAGTGACAAGCTTGGAGAAGAAATTGCCTTAGGCCTTGCTATACCTTACCATTTTCTCACACACCAACTCCAAGGAAGATGCTTTAAAGCCAAGAATCCAAGCTTTATAACTTTCAGATAAATAGTTAATGATGGAAATGGAGCAAAGAAAGTAGGAGTGTGAAGATGTGGCTTCTTATAATTAGATTCTGATGGGACTGGCATTATTAATTGATAAAGCCGAGGTCTGGGAGGATATGTCTGTGTGGGTCTCAAAAATAGCTGGGGACAGCATCAAAGGCAGCTTGATCAATTAATGGGCTCTTTGCAAATGTGTGCTCATCAAAGCTGTCATCCAGCTAAAAAATATGACCCTTCCACCTGCATGAAAGAGGCCAATAAAAGTACACAGGTGACCTTGGCCATCAAATATAGAAGAAGCTGCTGTGAGGGTAAAACTGCACAGTTTATATTTGCTGATTAGTTCTCACTTTTTTGTTTATCGGCCCTTGTGGTACTGTTCTACAGGACACTGAGGAGTGTGCACAGAAGAAGGAAGAGCAAAACAGACTGGTTATAAAAAACCTGGAGGCGGAAAATCAGGGATTAAATACATGCTGTGCTGACCTGCTAAATGACCTGGAGAAACTGAGGAAGCAGGAGGCACAATGGAAACCAGAAAAATCTGGCAGTGATGCCAGAATAAAGGTACGAAGTGGAATGAATGGATTCATGGATGTTATTTCAAAATTAACTTCTCCAGGCATTTGCACTACGAGTTATTTTCTTTAAATAACAAGTTATATATTCAAATCTACCAGTGGGGACTTGCATTCATTTACATTCCTTCACTTAAGACCCACAGCTTTTTAAAAATTGATGTTGCAAAGCTGGAATCTGACTTCAAATAGTCATCTTAAAATGTAATCATTAAAAAATAGAAGATACTGTATTTTGAGATTAAATATATATACGTGAAATAATAAAAGTTTAGAAGTATTATCATTCACATTTTTATTCTCAGTGTGTAATTTACCTATAATTTGGTTGCAGTAGACTTGATATCTGTTGTTTTGGAAGAACACTTTAAAACTTTAACTGCACTTTTGAATAAATTGTGTCATAGCCTCCAGAGGGCTCCACTCTATGAGAGACCTTACTGTTCCTATAATATATTAAAAAGTTATTTTCACTGTTTATGATAAAATGAAAAAGGAAGTAATCAAATACGTGGTACAGAATATTGTATGTTTTGTTTAAATGATGTTTTGTCTTGTTTGCTGGTGAAAATTGGTAAGTTCTTTAATTACTGTAAGAAATGAGACACAAACATGTTTAAGTGTTTGATGGCTGCTTGTGTACAAGTCTAGTTTGCAGGTTGTCTTTATTAAATGCCTAATAAACACTTAAAATTCTGTGCTCTTTTACAATATTGAAGTACATGAATTTCTGGTATATTCAGTGCAGTAACCGTTTAATCAACATCTTGCCCAGAAATGTATTTTTTTCTCCATTTGCAATTCAGTGGTTTTGGTGACAGTTCTGATTGTTATGCTGTTGTAAACCCTTTGTAAGAGCTTTGTTCAGATCTGCTAACACAGGAAGTAAAGTTCTTGCAAACTGGGGCCTTTGGAGTGGTTATGATGGAAGGATTATAGGATTCCCAGGACAAGAACTGATTTGTTGATACTTGGGATAGAAAATCTAGTGTATACTAAACTGATCAAGTAATTTTCACATTGTTAAATATAGTGCTAGTGATATTGGAGAAATTATTGAAAATCACTGTTGACCACACCTTCAATGAAAACAGAATAATTTTTAGTGTATCCATCTTCCTGGCTGGTAAGTCATGCTGAAGAGGGAAAGGTGTGTCACAGCCATGTAATTCCAGAGATGGACATAAATAGCATTGTTGTTTCAGAGTGGGGTCACAAGCAGGTCAAGATGGTGTCTAGGGCATGACAGAAGTAAGTTTTGAGATGGGTATTCCCTGAGATAACTAGGAATGATACACAGTTGGATCTGCTATTCACCAACGATGATTTAGGAGATAATAGTTAATGGCAGCCTTGGTTATAGTGACCATGAAATTGTGAAGGCAAAGACCCTGAGAAGATGGAGAAAGGAGAGTAGCACAATACAGACCTAGAATTAAGGAGATTGCTCAGGGAACTGGTAGGTGGCATCCCATGAGAAGCAGAACTGAATGGTAAAAACGGTCAGGAAGATTATAAACTCTTTGAAGATGGCTTCTTCCAAATCCAAGTATGGTCCATCCTGAGAAGTGGATGTATCAGGAGGCCGGCTTACCAAACAATTAATCACCAAACTCCAGTGTAGGGCAGGGGTGGAAAACAGTATTCAGGAAGCAGAAACAGCAAAAGCTACAAAAGAGGAGTTCAGAAACATTGTCTGGACACTCAGCAATGGAATTAACCTACCTACAACTGAGACTTGTAAGTGATGAGAGGTATATCAAGAGTTTCTTGCACTCCTTTCTAGTAAAAGGCAGAACAAGGAGAACTTTCTTTTCTTCCCCCTCCTCTCCCCTTCCCTCCCTTTTCCTTCTTTTCCCTTTTCCTTCTTTTCCCTTTCCCCCTCGCTTCCCCTATCTCCTTCCTCTTCTTTCTCTTCCTCCTTCTTCTCCCTTTCCTTTTCCGTTTCCTTTTTTTTTTCCTCCATTTGTTCTGTGATGTTAGACAAGTGACTATGTACCTTTGCTAGTGGTCAGAGCTAGGTGAAGTTGATTATCTTGCAAGGCTATTGCAAGGATTGAGAAGTAATTAAAAATACTATTTGCAAGAGGGAAGTGTTATCTCTGACTGACAGGAAGTAATAATATGTTGTCTCATTGTTTTTTATCAATATTTTGTAAAATAATAATTTATGAAAACAACACCCTTTCTAGTTCATTGCTGTTTTTACATACTTCTGTAAACACTTGCCTGAAAATTTAAGTAGTCGTTTGAATAAATTTCTCCCTTCATTCCTGGCATTCCCCATTGCTATTGTTCAACACTCAAGAATCAATATTGGATGCCATATTGGCTTTAACAGGATGCTTATAAACAATAAAGAATAATAATTTCCTTATGCATAAATAAAGAATAATAATTTCCTTATGCCAAAAATGACATTAACACACTGCACAATATTGGGCTGCAGATTATGGTGTTCTAATATATACCCCCCAATATAACGTGTACCTGAAATGCTTTTAAAAAATAATTTATGAGCAAATTCAGTAATGAAATTGTATTGTTGTTCTCAAGCGATTGTAAAAGTGGTTACAGATAAAAATAAGTTAAATTCAGAAATTATATCCCCCTCTGAAAGTTAGTTCTGCGTCTCAGCCTTGAGATAGGGAGTTGAACTGACATCTCTTTTTGTACGTGTTTTTCAGTAATAAACACTATCATTAACAATATTGTAGGTGTTATTGTATACAGGTACTATTCATGTTAGTGCCCTATATCTGTGGAAGAATAAAATGAAACCTTATAAGCATAAGCTATGGCAGCATTGCTTTTAAAATGTGTATTAGATGATGGAAATGTCTAAATAACAGATTCTTGTTTTGGAAAAGTAGCCGCTGTTTAAAGACTGAACTAAGTGTTACTAGCCCTTTCCTCCTTCCCCAGCCCCAGTCTTTAAACCATTTTCTTTGCAGAAAAGTTTAACTTGTCACTTTCAAAGACTGATTGTTTCCAGAGCTAGTGTAAGCTGAATTGGGGTGTAAAATTAAACTTTTTCAAATTGAGAGAAAAATCTTCTATGGTTAGTTTGTCCATTTAAGGAATATTTCTTTAAAGACTTGTTGTATTAGCCGAAATCTGAGTGAGACAGGTAAACAGGAAGAGACCCGATAAGATGGCTAAAAGGATGGCAATAGTGTTTTACTATTTGTCTTACAAATGCATTTGTCCCATGTGTACCTTCATATAAATAATGTGAAGTGTGCAAAAAATTAATATTGCTTTCTGCATTAAAGTAGCTCTTGAGAATTACTCTTCTGTGATTTCTAAGGCTTATATCAGCTTTCTGTGTGTCCTGAAAGTGCACAAGTGGAAAAGCTGTCAATCAGCCACCTTTTGCATGGATTGTATCCATATTTAAGAATGAGTTAGGTGTTTGAGTTATTTTGTTGTTCTTTGGGTGAAGGCTACCTAAATTAATGTTTAGTAGGAAGTTTTTTCTAGTTAGTACAGTACTTTCTGAAGTTCCTGAAGTCTGAATGTGAGAGCTTTTAAAGGAACTTGGAGAGGTGTTGTCTGTTAAAATTAAACGCTGAGAAACAGCCATCTCTTGTCAAGAGGAGCCTGGGATTTTAGTACCGTTGAAAAATGAGAGCATTATTGGGATTGGACCTTGAAAAAAATACTCTCACATCTGACATAATACATAACATGAAAAAACATGAAAACAAAGTTACTGTACTTGAAAGTGACTTTCTAAGGGTTTGATGTTACAAATAACAAAATATTAGTGTTAATTCAGAGTGAGTCCATAATCTGCACAACTGTGCTGCTTCATGTCTTTGTGTTATGCTTTTAATGTTTGAACTTCTTTTAAATTCACCCTTTCTCTGATTTTTCTGAGTTTATAGTTCTTGGTCTTGAAGTGATCAAAATGTTCCTGTAATGTTTAACCTTAAATTATTTTTCATTTTAGTTAGGATCACTATTTTTCATGGCTAGAAATAATGACTAGACTTATTCTTTGTGCTTCACTTTCTGTACTGTTAACGTATGATACTGTTATAAAGAAGTATCATATCTTTTACTGTGTCTTGTATTTTTCTCTAGAATATGCATTTTCTTTGTTGCATTATATAACTGAATTGTTTTTACTTACTGTGTTTCAAATAGCACTTCCTTCAATATGCTTTAAAAGAATTCTAAACAGTCTGTATATACAATTGAAATAAGCTTTACTTTGAAAATCAGGTTTAGGAGAATTTGTATTTAATGAATTTTTAGACTACATGTTTATGCAGTGAACTACTGTATCAACTAAATGGCAATATAATAAATTACACCTGCTTTTAAAAAATTGAGATACTGAGAAATTGATTGTAAAGGATTATAGGTTATTTCATACTCTTAGATTTCTAACTTATGTACAAAAGCTCTATGAAATGCCTCACTATAAGATATTTCAGTATATAAGCTATCTGTATAACAGGTCCCTCCTAGCCCCTGTTTTCATGTACTGCCCTTTCATTAATGCTTAAAAAAAAAAAATCAAGGTTTCATAATCAATTCAAGAGGTTGAACTGATTAGTTTGTTAGTTAAGTCAAAATCTGAAGTAATGTATGTCATAAATGGGGTGAAGTACTGACAGGTACTCTTCTTCTGTTTTTAATTTCTGCCATTGTGTCTAATGTTGTATTTATGACAGAATAATTTGTAAACTATGCTTTGTAATGTACCCTGCAATGGGTCGTGGGAACCTTAAGCATTGGAAGGATCAGAGTTTTTTTTTAATCTCTACCATGAAAAACGTCTGCAACTCTATAGTGTGTTGTGAAAGACAGGCAAAAAGGATTTATTCACAGAAAATCTGAACTGTTATCACTTTTGTTCACACATTACAGTAACTTTCAGCTGTTGTGGAAAAAGAAAACACACTGAGGAGAAACCCTAAGATTATGTGGCTGCAAGTTACAGATGATATTATTCCACTTCTTCATTTTCATGTGTTGATAGATCTCCTATCATTCTGAAATCTTTTGTTTTCTCAGAAAAAATAATTTCTGCTACTTAGCCTTTGAGGCATCTTTGCTGAAAGGCAAAAATGTGCATTTCTTTACTTTTTTAAGTCTGTATGTAAATGGAAGATAAAATAATATACTGTTGGCAGTAGATTAGATATACTATCCTACTATGAGGTATTTATTTTAAATTATTGATCAATCAAGGAATATTTCATAGATTCCTAGAAAGGTTTGGCTTGGAAAGGACCTTAGAATCATCTACATCCAACCCCCTGCTATGGGCTGGGATGCTTCACACTAGACCATGTCACTCAAGGCTCTGTCCAGCCTGGCCTTTAACACTGCAAGGGATGGAGCATTTACCACTGCATTGGGCAGCTTGTGCCAGTCTCTCACCACCCTCACAGTAAAGAACTTCTTCCTTGTATCTAACCTGAACTTCCTCTGTTTAAGTTTAAACCCATTACCCCTTGTCTTATTACTGCGGTCCCTGATGATGAGTTCCTCTCCAGCATCATTTGCCTTACTGAGAACATGTGATTGTGTCTGTGAATAGTATAATATCAAAACTGTTGCCCTTCTGAAACTGTGCCTTAGATATTGCTGTAATATTTCTATTTACATTCATGCCTCAAAACACTCTGAGAGAATAGTCATATGAAGGTTCTTAAAGACCGAAGTACTCTTCTAAGCTGCTAAGCCTCCGGAGAACTCTAATAAGGTCACTATGTAAAGACTGAAGTCTTGCTTGAGTAAGCTGCCTTGCTGCTATTTTTCCCAGATACACCTTCACATTTGCAGTGGTTTCACCTGGGATAGAGTTTATTTCCTTCCTAGTAGCTGGTGCAGTGCTGTGTATTGGCTTTAGTCTGAGAACAATGGTGGTAACACACCAATGATTTAGTTGTTGCTCAGTAGCGCTTACCCCAGTCAAGGACTTTTCAGTCTCTCATGCTCTGCCAGTGAAGAGGGGCGCAAGAAGCTGGGAGGAAGCAGAGACAGAACACCTGACCCAAACTAGCCAAAGGGGTATTCCATACCACAGCACATCATGCCCAGTATAAAAAGTGGGGGGAATCACAGGAAAGGGATCAGTCACTGCTTGGGTTGGACTGGGTATTGGTCCGAAAGCGGTGAGCAATTGTATTGTGCATCACTCGGCTTTGGTTTTGGTTTTCCCTTCACTATTTTCTTTGGGTTTTATCCCTCCTCCCCCTTACTATTATTGTTGTTGTTACTATATTTTACTTTATCTCAGATACTAAGATTATCTCAACCCATGCATTTTACCTTTTTCCAATTATCCACGCTGCAGAGTAGGAGCACGAAGTGGGCAAGTGCCTGTGTGGTACTTAGTTGCTGGCTGGAGTTAAGCCACGACAACAGTTTATTGACTAGCTTGTATGGTATGGCTTACTGTAAATGGCAAACTATTACTTGTTTACACTGTTTTCAATGAACATTTCCAGAAGTTTTCTTGTATGCAGTTTCTTTTCCTGAAGAAACTATTCTTTCCATTGAATTGAAGTGCAAAATTGTAAGATGTTTAACAAGCAGTCTGAAAAATGAATCTGTATCCATGATTCTTAGTTCATATGCACAATATTGTGCAATATTAGAGAACTTAAAACAATGAATGGTAACTTCTTTGTTAGGAGTAGGTATCTTCTGTTTGATTTCTACAAAGAAAACAAGTTTTAGTCAAATTAGTAGTTACATACTGCACTACTGTTTTGCCAAGATTTAATTCAGGATTCTCTTTCCACATTCAGCAGATGAATTAAGGAAAACTTCCTACAGTAAAGAATAGGTGGTCACCTAAAATTTGAAATATATCTGTTGTGGTTCAAGCCCAGCTGGCAACTTGGAACCACGCAGCCGCTCGCTCCCTCCCCCCACTTACTCCTC